TATATATATATAATGTGATGTAAAATAATAAAAACAACAATGTATGTAAAATCTTCAAAATAATTATGATTTTGTTGTTTTTTTTAAATGTTTTTAAGAAATATATTTGGCCAAAAGTTGTTTTTGACAATCGAGTCAATTGAAATATAATTATTATAAGAACTTCGTCATTTTACATTTAAAAACATATAATACTCAAAACATATTATAAATATACTAACTTTCTCGTAATATTTTCTACCTTAACAATTTTACAATTATCTTTATACAGTATAACTTTCTGTTGTTTTAAACGGTTAAAGTACTAAAATAGTTTTTTACTATTTATACGGAGTTGTTTGTCTCAGAGTTTATAAAAGTGTCAAAACAATTTCCGATTATTTTAAAATTGAGCTCTAATAATTTCTCATGTATATTGTTCATCGTCAATTTAAAGGGTTTATGGATTATTTTGACATTTTTATAAACTCTGGGAATAAGTCTCATGTAAATAGTCAGAGATTATTTTGGCACGAATAAGAGATTCCAATTAATTAAAAAAAAAAAAAGGGGGAAATCCAAAAATTGGGAGTCATGTCATTGAGAACATGGCAATGTGCAAGAGAATATATTTATCTTTTTCATTGGGATTGTGCTGCAAATAATTAATTTTATTATTAATTTTTAGATTTAGGGAATATGACATATTGAGTTAATGTAGAAGGGTGGATAGGATATTTTGTACATTACATTATTTTATTGACTAAAATCAATAAAGCAATAATTATATCTCAATTGGATATTTGTTGGTGTTATAAGAATATAAGAAGAAGTTGTGTTATAAAAAGTAATTGAAGTGCAAACATTTAGAGAACTAGGAAAAATATAAGGCGACCCACAGAGAGTTTAAGAGAATAATTTGTTACGTTAAAAATTTTGTTTTTAGTGATATTTATAATAAATTATATAATATAGAGGATGAAAACTATATGTATAAACTAGTCAAAAGAAAAAAAGAGAAAAAAAAAGTAAATATTTAATTCAAGTAAATTATATTAAAAATTAAAAAGTAAGAAAAGTATTTTGGTCCCTATTTTTAAAAATAAAGGGGTTGCACAAAAATGTGCAAATTATTGAGGAATTAAATTGATGTGTCATACTTTAAAATTATGGGACATGGTAGTTAAGACGGATACAAATATTTCTCATGATCAGTTCGGATTTATACCAGGCAAGTTTAC